AGTACCGTCTGCGCCTCCGCAGACCACCRTCTCCCCTCCTTCCCCGCCGCGACTACCGACGCGTCGAGCCATTCGCTCAGCCCGTTGCAGCGAGCAGCTTGCTACTCCCGAGGACGTTGTGTCCTCTCTTCTGGACTTGAGCATGCTCCAGGCTCGTCAGGAGCGACTCACCCTCCATGTCGCTGCACTGCGTCGCCTTCTCACCATCCTCTCTGACCCTGATCGCACCCTCCTGATCATCCCAGTACGACTCGGGACCTCCACGAGGGTGTACTCAGCGCTATGGGATTCCGGTTCCCAGGGGGACTTCATTCACCCATGCATGGTGAAGGAAGCCCGCTTACCCACGACAGGGTCTCCAACTCCCATCTCCGTTACCCTAGGGGATGACAAGACTCAGCGCTTCTTCGATCGGACGGTCACCGACCTCCCCTTCTTCCTCACTCTCGAGCCGACTGATCGTTCCCCGGCGTCTCGTCGCCACCGCTCCTCTACACATTTCGATGTGATGGAGACGGGGTACGACTTCATTCTCGGCATTCCGTGGTCTCGTCGGTTCCGCAGCACCGAGGCCGATTGGGCGACCAACACTCTCGTTCTCAAAACGAAGTGTGGACAGACGTATCGCGTACCTTTCATAGGTACCACGGCGACACCACGCCCCGATCCTCCTCCCCCGGAGTCTTCAGTGCCCACACCATCTCCCTCTATCACTGTCACCTCGCCTCGGCAGTTCGCTCACTTTATTCGACAGGACGACGTCGCATTCTTTATGGTGGACGTGACGGATCTCTTACACTATGATCCACCCTGTCCCGACGCCGAGCTCATCCCTCTGGAGCCAGATCCTCCCTCTATCTCCATGGCTCCCATCTCTACTTCCGTCCCTCCGCCGTCCGTCGAGTCCACCCCGCCGTCGCGCGCTGACACTGACGCTGAGGAACTCGCACGATATACGGCTGACCTGGAGCCCGCAATTCGTGACCTCATCCGAGAGTACCACGACGTTTTCCCATCGTCGTTCTTATACGCCAGCATCCCACCGATGCGTGACGTTGAGCACTTCATTCAGCTTGTGTCTGACTATCGTGTTCACCACCAGGCACCCTACAGACTCTCGATCCCCGAGGCCACCGACCTCAAGCGTCAGCTTGAGGAGCTCCTGAGACTGGGTTTCATTAAACCCAGCAACTCCCCGTGGGGTGCACCCGTCCTCTTTGCTCGCAAAGCGGATGAAACTCTCCGTTTCTGCATCGACTATCGCGGTCTCAACCGCTACACGGTTAAGAACAACTACCCTATGCCTCGTTCCGATGAGTTGTTTGACCGCCTAGCAGGCAACCGCTTCTTTACGAAGATTGATCTTCGTAGCAGTTACCATCAGATCCGCGTCGCTGCAGCCGACCAGCCGAAGACCGCGTTCCGATCGCGATTCAGCCACTACGAGTTCACGGTGATGCCATTCGGCCTCACTAATGCTCCCGCTATCTTTAAGAGGGCGATGAACGACATCTTCAGGGACATCCTAGAGCAGTACGTTCTCGTCTACCTCGACGATATCCTGGTTTACAGCCGTACCCTTGAGGAGCACCTCAGACACCTCCGCGACGTCCTTGACCGCTTGCGCAGACATGGCTTCTACGCCAAGCTGAGCAGGTGCCGCTTTGCCCAGCATAAAGTGGATTTCTTATGACACTACGTGTCCGACCAGGGTCTCCACATGGACGACGCGAAGATCACTGCTATTGCGGAGTGGCCTGCTCCCACATCCGCCAAGCAGCTTCGCAGCTTCCTAGGCTTGACCAGCTACTACAGTAACTTTATCCGGGGATACGCTAGGTATTCCTACGTCCTTACCTCCACCCTCCTCCGGAAGAACCCACCCTGGGTTTGGACACCCCTCCACGAGGACGCCTTCCGCGCCCTCAAGAGGACGGTGACATGCGCACCGGTTCTTCACGTACCCGATTTTGACCGCCCTTTTATCCTTACCACCGATGCGTCAGACTTCGCTGTAGGAGCAGTGCTTTCTCAGGTCTTCCCCTCCTCTCCTGAT